CCCATCCCACGTCAGGAGGAGGCTCAGGAAGCACTGCTGGGGGCTCCCCCGAGAGCTAGCTTCCTGTTTTCAAAGTGGCTGGGAACTGCTGACAGAATGTTCTGGAGCCCTGCCCCTCCCTGCTGCCTCAGTGCCCCACCCCCCATCCAGGCCCACAGACCTTGCCCCGTCTCTGTGCTCAGCACTGACCCTGTCCTACAGTGAGGCCATTTTCCGGAAGAGGAAACTGAGGCCCAGAGAGGTGTTGCCACTAGCCCAGGGTCACACGGGAAGGAAGAGGTGGTGCCCAGAGTCCAGGTCCGGGCTCTAACCTGCCTCCCCCTGGAGCAAAGAGCTGGGTCAGGGGTGTGCAGAGTGGGATGGCCCCTCCGGCCTGCACTGTGGCTCCCAGGCTCCAGGGGTCGCCCTTGCTCAGCCACAGGCTTTCCTGACTGGTGGGTGCAGCCTCCCCCTATTCACCATCCCCCTGTGCATTTGCCACAGGAGGGCTACCTACGTCACAAGCATTAATGGAGTGTCAGTCGCAGACAAAACAGACTCAGTCCCACCCTCCAGGGCTGGTGGCCAGGGAGCGGGACACCTAGCCTCAGAGGAAAATAAACAGACGCGGCTGCAACTGCCCCCTCTGTGTTCCCGCCCAGCGAGCTCCGTCTCACCTGCTGTAGTTGCACAGGCTATTCCCTCTGCCTGGAATGCCTAGCTCCCTGGTGAACTCCTCTTCATCCATCAAAGCCCCAACCCCAGTGTTCTCTCTTTTCTTGGGAGCCGTCCCAGGACCCACCAGTGCCCAGCCCCATGACTCCATGGGGCTGGAGGTATGTGCATTCCACAACAATGTCCTAGGGACGCTGCTCTGCTGCTCTTGTCATGGTGGCAAGATGGCCTGTTTCATCACCTCCAGGGAGCCCCCAAACTCTTGGGATGACTGACTCAGCTGGAGTCACCTGGCCATCCCTGAGCCGATCCCTGCACCTCTGGTGACAAAAAGCTCTAATTGATCAGATTTGGTCGCATGTCCACATCTGAAGCTGGGAAGACTCAGAGGTCGCTGCTTGCCGCATCATGGCTGGGGGGCCTTGGGCAAGTCCCCCACTCCCAGACTCAGTTTTCTCCCCCCATGCGTCTGGCTCAGGGGGCTGAGGTGCTGGAGCACGGAGGGGTCCTGCTCTCTCCCATGTGCTGTAGGGGGCCGGGCCCAGTTTACCCCACGGCCCCCTCCTTCGCTGTTGCGCTCTGTGAGTCCGCCCCAGTGTGGCCCGCACTGGTGTCCACCTACTGAGTCGCCAGCTCCTCCTGGGTCCCTTGCCCAGCCAGACGGTTTCTGGGGACTTTCCTGGCCTTCCTTGAACCTGAACATCAAAAACGAGGTGGGGAAGACGAGGACAGAGGCGTGTGGACAAGCCTGTGCGCACCCTGCACGGGTTCAGTCCCGCGTCCTTTCCCGCCTGTCACACGGAGACCACGAATTCTTCCACTGGAGCAGACACGCTGCCCGTGAGCACCCCCAGACCCTCAGCCGGGCCTGGGGCACCCAGAGCCGAGGCGAGCATGGCCATTACGCTGCGCCTGCCGGGACAGGTGTTAGCTTGCGTGATGCATGGGTGCCTGAGCTCCCTGGCCCGTTTTTGCGTCTCCACCTATGTGTGCATGTGTGATTCTGCACATGTGTGCACCGGGCTGTCCTGCGTGTGGAGCCCTGAGGGCCTAGGAGACAGAGAGAACCCCTTGTTGGAAAAGGTGCACCTGGTGGAGGAGCCTCTGGGGGCGAAGGTGGGAGGGCCGGGAGGTTGTCGGGTGCAGGCAACGGCAGGAGGCTGCAGGGAACAGTACAGGGGTGCAGGGAACAGCAGGCGCACAGGGGCAGGCAGCCTGAGGGGGAGGGGAGCCGTGTGAGGGAGCCCGGGCGGCTTTGGCAGAGCTGAGCTTCTGGAGGAAGTGACGCCAGTTCTGAACTATTCACTGAACACCTACTCTGTGCGCCTGGAGCTGGGGACACAGAGGGACTCCAGGCTGACAGAAACCATGACAACAAACAAGTAAATATGACTGTGAGGGCGGGAGAAGATCAGGAAGCACAATGCATCGGGCAGGGGCAGGAGACCCCAGGTGTGCTCTGGCCTAGAGGGGTGTCCTGAGGAGGTGATGCATGATCTAAGGCCCAAAGGAGGGAAGGTCCTGGGCAGATCTGGGAGGGGAGCTCCAGGTGAAAGGCAGGTGCAAAGGCCCTGAGGTGGGATAAGCTGGAGGAGGGGCTCCATTCAGGAAGATCTAAGCCCAGAGCAGGGAGGGGAGACATCAGGGGGCGACCCTGGTGGAGGGCAGGGCCACCAGGACAGGCTGTCCTGTAACTGGAGCCCAGCAGGAACTTGTCCCCCCTCCTGTCCACCCTCAGTACAACCTCCTCAGGACAGAATGTGCCGGGAGGAGAGGTCGGTGGTGGCTTGTGTCTGGTGGCTGGAGCGGGGTAGCAGGAGGATTCCTGAACAATGGCCAGACTAGGCCTCCTGCCAGCAAGGGCAGGAAAACAGGCAGTAGAAGCCCTGCCTCCCTGTCACCCCGTGACCTGGGCCAGGGAAGGGACAGAGATGGTGAAAGTGTCAGAGACTGACAGAGACAGAGAGGCGGTGACCACAAGAGATGGCGAGCCAGAGCCAGAGCCAGAGCCAGAGAGGTCGTGATGGGAGAGCGCAGACAGGCTCTGTGACTGGATGCCAGGTCTGCCGGGGCGGGGACCCTGGGAACGAGTGCAAGGCAGCCGCGGTCCCACCCTGCCAGAAACTGTTTATACAAGAGCACGGAGGGAGTCCCCTCCAGTCACTCAGTCAGCGACCCCCTTCGCACCCGCTATGTACCGGGGCCAGGGACACAGCCCTAATCCAGCCCTGCCCTCAGAGGCTCAGACAAACAAGTGAATGTCTAAATAGGAAGGGCAGAGAGTGATGTGGGCTGTGAGGACAATGGGACAGGGGGATGGGAGAGGGACTGAAAGCGGGGTGGTTGGTAACTTTAGCCAGGAGGTTGGCATATCCCTGGAAAGATGAGGCTGGGGGTAAAGAGGAGCCAGCCTTAGGGAAGCGCCTTCAGCACAGGGAGCCGTGTGCACAGGTGCAAAGGCTCTGCTGCGGCAGGAACCGGCTTGGGATGTCTGAAAAGCCAAGGCTGGAAGAGGAGCCGGAAGAGGTAGGTGGGAGGTCTTAGGAGCCTGGGGAGGGTGAGATTTTATCTTAGGAGAAGAATATTTGGCAACTGTCCTCTATGAGCTATGAGCCCCTCACAGTGTTCAGGGAGTTCCCTGGACTCTGGGTGGCCTGTGCCAGCCGCATCTGGTTGTCATTGACCTTGACCAGGAACCCATTTCTTCTAGGGACCAGGTTCCCCGAGGTTGCAGATGCAGGAGTCCTGGGGACACGGGGCAGCTTGCCCCCCAAGCTGGCTGGGGAGAGCCTATTGCAGAACTGCACTCACATCGCCGTTGCAGTCCGGGGAGCTGGGACCCTGCATCTTGCACACCCTGGAAAACGGGGAGCTCATCCTCTCCTGAGACTGACTTTGCCATAAAAACCCCTTCTCTGGTCCCAGTCCTGGGGACCTTCAAGTCTGCTCCACTCAGAACAGGCTGTCAGGCCAGCTGCCCAGAGCAGACGCTGCTGGACAGGGAGTGTTGGGTGGACCCCAGGGGCAGGAGCAGCTGGGAATCAGGGCCCAAACTCAGACCAGGGAAAGAGGCGATGGAGGCTGTGAAAGGAAGTGTCCCAGAGTCTCAGACGGGGAAACTGAAGCTCAGAAGCAAGTGCCCTGCCCATGGTCACACAGACAGCAAAAGCTCAGCCCAGATCTCCCAGGGTCCAGCCCCTAGGTTACCCCCTCATCCTAAGTGCTCATCTCTGCCCCTCAGTCCTGCCAGTGACCATACTGAGCCGCCAGTTAATTTTCACAGCATAGCCTAGGGTTCGGACCAGGGTTTTAATTGGGCCTCGTCCCAAGGGGCAGGGGGACCTCGGAGTCAGAGGTGAAGCCTGAGCAGCTGGTGATGAGGGGACAGCAAGTGGGGCATCACACACGGGCTGTGGGGCACGGCCTTTGAAATTCCAGGGGCCTGAGTGGCGGCAGCCCCATCAGTCCTTGCTGTGGGACCCTGGGCGCGCCCCCTCACTCTGTTGGACATGCTTCCCCCACCGCTCGAGCTGCCTTAACTCCCAGTGACTGTTCGAACAAACCCCATAAGTGCTGGTTCACCCACGCCTAGTCACACGTGGAGCCAAAATGTGGGAACGACTCGAGTGCCCAACAACTCGAAGGTCCGCCAGCTGGGGAACGGGTGAGCAAAGCACAGTCCCTTCACAGTGGAACGTCACTCCGCTACGAAGAGGAGCGAGGCGCTGACACGGGCTGTCCCGTGGACCGGCCGTGATAACCGGCCCGGTGACAGCAGCCGGATCCACGAGGCCCCGCAGTGTGTGACCCGGAGCAGCCGAGTCCATAAAGACAGAAAGCAGACCCGCAGTTTCCAGGGGCTGGTGGGCAGGGTGGGGAGTCACTGGGCACGGGGATGGGGTCCCCCTTTGGGGCGATGGAATGGCCTGGAACTAGGCAGAGGTGACGGCTGCACAGCATTGTGAGTGCGCTGAACACTACAGAATTGTTTACTTTAAAATGGTTCCTTTCATGGTATGTGGGCTGTATCTCAGTGAAAACAAACAAATAAAAAGGCCAGACTCAGAGTCAGGACCCTCCCGAAACACAGAACCCGTCCAGCCCAGCCCCTCCTCTCCATCTGCGGAGGACAGGGGGCACTGCTCCTTCTCCCGGCACCTGTCACTGCCCTGGGGGAGGGGTTGGGCTCCAACCACAGCTCAGCCTCCCCGTGTGTCCCTGGGCCTCAGTGTTCTCTTCTGGACAATGGGCCCCTCGTCCCTCCTTGGCCTGGAATTCCCAGATGGTGGTCAAGGCCACTCCGCCTTCCTGGGCAGCTGGGGAAAAATAAACCAATAAGCCTAGTCTCTTCCTCCACAATTTTATTTTTAAAAAATTGTACAAAACAGAATAATTTAAGGCTTATCAGAAATGCTGAGGCCCAGGCCAGGACACAGGGGTCTCCAGAGGCACACTGGCCCTGCTGTGTCACCCCAGGGCGATCTCTGTCCCCAAGGCCTGGTTGAATGCTCTGCTGTCATTATCTTGAAATTCTTAGTACTCCTGAACAAGGACTCCGAGTTTTCATTTGCAAGGGAAGTAGCAGGTCTTGTCTATCCTGCTCTGAACCTGGCTCCGAGTCCACCGCACCCTGAGAAGCCCCCAGGCAGTCCCTGCCTGGGGCAGGGATCTCCAGCTTCCCGAGGCTTCAAAAGCTGGAGTCTCTGCCACTGCACCCCACAGGCTCCACCCAGCTCCCCTGACCGTGACTCCGTGTTCCTGTGACCTCAGCTGAGGCACGTGCCCTCTGAACCCTGTTCTAAGGAGAAGAGGGCAATCTCCAAACATCATTCAGCTCTGACCTTCTCTGACTTCTCCTCCCTCTTGCTTGCCTGTCTGCTGAGCTCTTATCCATGTGCCAAAGCCTTAGCTAAGATGCCCTTTCCTCCAGGAAGCCTGCTCTGCTTCCGCTCTGGGTTTTTCTGGGTCTTCCTCTGGTCCCGTGAGACTGGAAGTATTTACGTCTGGCTGTGTCTCTCCGGGCCGGAGGCTCCTGGGGGAACCCCAGCCCCTGCCCACAGGCCAGCACAGACAGTCTGAACAGTCGCTTGGACCTGCACCAGGCATTTGATGCCTTAGAAAGACCAGATAAGTCAGATGCCAGACTGGCCCTTCCTCTGCCCTGTGTGAACAGCCCCGTCCTGTTTCAAGACTTCGTTTCCCAGCTCCGATGCAGTCGGGCCGGCCTGTTCTGGATCCAGCCACGCCCACGTCCACGGTGGCTGGAAGTGCATGTGCAGTGCAACCTTGTCCCTCGAGGTACCCGCTTCCACTCAGCAGGTCATGCAGCGTGGCCTCATGGCTTCCGAGGGGGGGTTTGGATCCTCCTGAGGAAAACAAACCCATCAAACCTCAGCGGGCCTTGGAGGCTCAGAAGCACCCGTCCCTGCCTTGAGAGTCTCCACCCCTAGAACCGCCTGGGGCTCCAAGCTGGTTCAGGCCCTGAACATATATGTATGAGTTTCATCTACATTTTAAGCTCCTGTGTCTCCCCCATCTCGGATCCCAGGGCCTGGAAAGGCATGGGGCCTTCTTGGGCCCCCAAGCTCACCTCAGAGTACAGGGGCGGCGGGCGGTAGCGGAACTCTTGGATATAGGTGAAGAAGGGGCCCTCAAGGCTCATGTCGGACTCCTGAGGTGGTGGAAAGGGGCTCTGCCCCACAGCTGCCACACCATCTGCCACCACCTCTGAATAGTCCGGAGGGGCTGGAAGGGACAGCGGAGAGGGTGAGGGCAGGGGGTGGGGGGGGGCCCTGGAACCGGCACAATGGCCAGGAGCCTGCTCGTGCCGGTCCTGGGCTGCTAGACCGTGTGCCCTCGGCTGGGATTCTTGGGGGAACTGTGGTTGCCAGCGTGATCATTTCTGGGCACTATTACAGATGGGGGCATCGAGGCTGTGGAGGGCATGTTGGCTTGGCACCCACCCACTCACCCACCCCCCGGGGTCACCAGGATGGGGCCCTCACCCTCGGGCTGCTCTGGCAGGGCCCCCAGCCCCCAGTCTAGCAGGAAGCTGGTGCGGCTGCCCACGCTGGACGAGCGGCTGCCAAAAGGGTGCAGGGGGACGGTGCCGATGACCAGCGGCAGCTCCAGGAGCAGCTTGGACGTGCCCGGGATGTCCACACAGACCTGAAGGAAGGAACCAGAATGGAGGGTGCCGGGCAGCCTTGCCACACCTGCCTTCCACAGAAGGAGGCCCTTCTTGTGCCGAGGGGCCCCAGCTCCAGCCTGAGAAAGAGCAGATGCAGCCCCTGCCCCTGCGATGCTCTACCTTGAGGGCGTAGTCCACGTGCAGCACACGGCAGTGCAGGATGGAAGGGCCCACCGGGGGGATCCGGAGCGCCCGGCCCTGCCACAGCGCTCGCCGCCCGGGGCCCACAGGCTCCCCCATGAGACTGGCCACCACTGCGTGCTTCTGCTTGCGGGCACCTCGGGCCATGAAGGTCTGAGTCTGGACCACGACTGCTCGTGGCAGCACCGGGCGGGTGGAGCTGTTGTCAATCTCAGCGAACACGGGGATCACCTCGCCTGCAATGGGGGTGGCGAGGCCTCAGTTTCCTCACTTGCAGCCCCGATACTGTCCCCCCGCCCACAGTACGGCTGTTTGTGCCTGCTACCTGGTGTGTAGCCCTTGCGGTCGATCTTGGCTGAGAGGGAGACCAGGCCACGGCGGTTACTGTACCAGGATCGGGCAACTTTCTCCCGAGCTCCGGCCTGAGCGGCCTGACGGGGTGGAGGAAAAGGACATAAATGGGTCACTTTGTGGAACTTCCAAACCATCCCCAGGCGAGGGAACCTCTGGGGCAGGGCCCAGTTTCCAGGTTTCTCTTTAAGAATCTAGGAAATATCTGTAAAATGGACCCAGGAATATGACCCAGCTCATGAAGCTAAAAATGAAACGAGCAAGCCAGTGCTTAGTGTGTAGCTAGTGCTCAGCAAGGAATTATTCGTTTGCACTCTGGTTGTGCCCTATTTCACAGTCGAGGCATCTGAGGCTCAGAGAGGGTGAGACACCTGCCTTGAGCCACAGAGCGCTGGTGTGGCTGGGATTTGCTCCGGGCTACACCGACGCCTCAGACATTCCTTTGCCTGCCTCCCTCCCTGCCAGGGCCCAACTGTGACCCATGCTTTGTGACAATTCGTGAAGAGGGTAAGGAGTCAGATGGAGTCACCCAGGAGCCAGGCCCCTGTTCCCGGGCACACATCCCACCTCCCCAGGGGCAGCCAGCCACACACCAGCAGGGCGGGCGTGTTGATGTCCACGGGCTCGATAACAGTAAACACCTTCCTTGCCCTGCGGGCAGGAACCCAGGGCCGGTGCAGGGTGGCCTTGACGCAGTATCGGACACTGCCGTGTTTGCCCTCGAATGACGTCACCAGTGTCCTAGGATTGAAGGAAGGGGCTTCAGCAGGTGAGGCGCAGAGACTAGTAGGTTGGGGATCCCCAAAGACTCAGGGGGCTTGAGAGACACAGAGACACTCCTGAGGGCCTCCCAGCGGAGACAGTCTTGGTTGGGCTCAGAGATCCCCAGATACCTAACAGTGGGAGCACACTTCCCCCAAATCCAGCACCCCAGATGACTTACGGAGGCAGCTGAAAGCTGAATGGGAACTCGTGGCGCCCAGCAGACAACGTGGTGGTCTCTCCTGTATCTGCAAGTAGGAGAAAGAGGGGGTGGCTCAGTGGCTGAGTAGGGCTCCCCGGGCGCGCAGCACGTGCGCCGAGCAGGGGTCCCTGGTCGTACCTGACGCGAGAAGCGTGGCATGGTGGCTCAGGACATCCACGCGCTCGCTGTAACTCTGCGTGTACGCGGTGCTCGAGCCCGAACTGCGTGACTCGGTCCAATGCACGTGGGCACGGCCCCGCGCGCGCAGCCTCAGGGCTCCCACGCGCGCCGGGCCCGCAAGCTCCAGCAGCACACTGCCGGCTACGACCTGGCCGCCGCTGAACACCGGATTAGCGCCTGCACTCGTGTCGTCCAGATGAACAATGAATACCTTCACCTTGTCGAAAAGCATCGCGCCGGGGATGCAAACCCTAGACACGCGGACCCTGGCCTAGAATCCCCGACACAGCGGAGTGAGGGGCGACGCCACAATCTCAGAAAGCCAACCCACCCAGCGTGCGCAGGAACACTTAGAAGGCGGCCAGAGATTCTTCGGAGCCTATGCTGGCGCCACTTTTATATGGCGGGCGGGGCAAAGCGCGACACATGCCCGCCCTGGGAAAGAATACGCCAATGGAGCGGCGAGAGGCGTGGCTCCGCCCAGACAAGTAGCAAAATAAACTCCCAGACTCTCAGGCCGCTTACCCTCCACCCTCGTGGACCCTGGGGTGAAACTAAAGAATTGGGGGCCAGAACCGGTTTGGCCCGGATCTCGGGGATAAAGAGAGGAAATTGAGGCCAGGAAGCTGGGTCGGGGCTTGAGGTCACTCAAAAAGACCATTCGGTCCTACAGCTTAATCATCAACCTGCCACTCCTTGCAGACGTGACTCGGGGCAGGTCCAACCCGAGTTGGAGGGGCGTGGCCTGGCCCCAGTGGGGCACTGGAGGCCTAGGTCACCGGGTCTCAGTTTTTCCCCGTGTTCAATGGTGAGGGAGAAGGAAGTTGGTGGGGCCTTCTCCGACCCCGCACCTGCTGCCCCCTTCCTCTGATTCGAAGCGCGCTCAGCTGGGTGATCCGGGACTAGTGACAGCCTCTGGGAGCCTGAGTTCCCACGTGCACAATGCCGGAAGAAACAGCTCGCATCTCAGAGAGCTCGGCATGAATCTCAGTGTCGCCCCTACGGGACCCCTCCCAGAGCCTTCTTCCCGGATTACCAACTGCTCTCGACCCCTTGCCACTAGGTTGCGCCTAAAGCTCTTTAGCCCGAGGTGTTCCTACCAACCAACATTTCTTTCCCAACTTCCAGCCTCTGGTAAACGCCTACATTTGACCTCTAGGCCTAGCCTTTGTGCCCACTTCAGGCACCTCCGGTTTTGACCCCCTCAGACACAGCGGAGTTCAGAGAAAGCTCCAGGCACCCCCGGAGCCCAGGGCTGCGGAGCCCAGGGGTCATTCGGGGCAAGAATGACCCCTCTCTGGGCCTTAGTTTCCCCAAGGAACCATACTTTGGCTTTCAAAGGCAGTTGCCTCCTCACAATCTACGGGGCATCTGCGCCCTCTGGTGGCAGAGAGATGCACTGCTGCTCGAATCCATGCCTACGTTGGCCATCCCTATTGAGTCTGGCTCAGGCCACCCAGGGATGTCCTGAGAAGGCCGCGGCACCCCCAGTGGGAGATGGCCATAACCAGACCTGTCAGCTCGTGAAGCAGTTAGAACAGGCCCAGAGCGAGGGGCAGAGGCCATCAACTCGGGGGGCTGAAATGAGGGGTTGGGACCCTCCGTCAGGGCCAACTGTGGCCAAGAGAGAAGACAGGAGGCCATAAGCCAGGAGGAGGTGGGGCATGAGGTGACTCTGAAGGGACAGACAGGCTCATAATGAGCAAACATTTCCCTCAGTGCATTTTACAAATGGGTCCCCAGAGCCCCAGAGATGGGCAGGGTCACACGGCACATAGGAAAACTTCACCCCTCCAGAGTCTTGAGGAAGCAGCCACCAGCGAGTGGGAACAGAGGGACAGTAGGATGAGACCAACCCCAATTTCGCTTGAGCTGCAAGGGAAAGGAAATCCCTCTGGGGCCCCTTCCTGCCACACCCATCACCACTACATCTCGGTTTCTACAGCTGGTCAGGCTAGCGTGCTCCGAACCTGGGGGCTGTTGGGACAAGGCTACAAGGCCAAGTCCGGGCTGTCTCCTGCTGTGGGTATTTTGCAGAAGGCATAAGGGAGGAGGTGGAAGGGCCCCCAAAGACACCCATGTCCTCCGTGGCTCTTTCTGTGGTCCCTGTTCTGCCCCTGGCTGGCCATGGGGGGGGGGGGGCTGAGGTTTGCCACCACATGAGACTCCCAGCCTAATCTGATCTCACCCCAACTCTCTTCCACCTCACCTGCAAGCACCACCAGAAACTCTAAGCCAAGGAAGAACCCTCCCATTCAAACACAGCAGGCTAAACTGAGGGAGGGTGCACTGGCTGAGGGAGACAGGGGACTTCTTTGAAAACCAGGGACCCCAGACCGGGGGCTGACAGGGATCCTGGGGTCCAGAGAGGAGGATCTAGGATCTCCGGTTTCCACCCAGGGATTCCCCCAGACAAAGGGTCCCCACTGCACCACTACACAGCCTCTAAATCGAGGGCGTCTGGGCTCTGGAGTGGAGGTGCCCAGACCCTGGGAGGGGTTCCCGAGAAAGAGGGTTTTGGAGTGAGTAGGTGGGTGGATGTCCCAGCGGGAGCGTCCAGACCCTGACAGACCCTGGGGAGAAGGTTCCCACTTCCTGCGAAGGGTCAGCCGATCACACGACCTCTAAGTCTAAAGGCTCCGGGCTCTGGAGAGGGGCGCGCAGACCTGGGGAGTGGGTACCCCGTCTGTGTGTGTATGTGTGTGTGTGGGGTGATCCTAGCTATGGGGAGGGAGGGTGATGGCTCACCTCGGAGCAGCAGCCGTCGCCGCCGTAAGTACGTCTCTGCGGCTGCGAAGTGGCTGGAAACTGCGTTGACGCCCACGCTTCGGCCCTCGAGCCACTGCGCTGCAGCCCCGCCGCGGGCGACCACCTCCAGCCCTCGCACACGCAGTGGCGCCGCCACCTCCAGCAGCACCCGGCCACACAGCCGCTCGCCGCCGCGGTACGACCCGCCACGCGCCAGCTCCAGCCTAAAGCTGCTCACGCGCCCCAGACGCATGGCGCGGGCCTGAGTGCACCGCGGGGACGGTGCGCCCGGCGTGGGGCCCGGCCTGGGCCTGCGGCCACCAGGCGGGTCTCAGCCCTCGTCCTCGCCGCCCCTGGCGTCCCGGTGCTTTCTCCCGCCCCAGCGAACTTGTGCAGGCGCCTCGGGCCCCGCGCTGACTTCCTGGTCCTCCGCGTCCGCCCCCTTGAGGAGCCCGGGCCGCCGTGGACGTGCGTTCCGCTACCCGCCCTGTTGACTTTGTCACACACCCCCACCCTGCCCCCCACAGCACCGGGCGGGCCCTGTTTTTTCAGGGTCAGCGCAGATGAGTCACAGGCAGCTGGGGGCGGATGTGGCTGGTGCTGAGGAGGCGGCCAGGGGCTGTACCTTGTGGTCTAGTTCGTACTCCACTCAGCACTTTTTGTCCTGGTGCTGCCCCAGCCTTTCCCCCTCCTCCAGCCCCTGCCACCTACAGGTTGTTCCCCAAACACACCAGACTCAACAAGCGTTGCCTCTTGGCTTTTGCAGCAGCTGTTCCAGTGCTAAGAACGCCCTTCCCCAGATCCCCTCTCCCACCCGCCCCCCAAACCCCATCCCCAAATGTGGCCTCCTCAGAGTCCCTAGACATGCTCTGGCCTTTATTTCCTTATGGCTCTGCTCAGTGTGCTCGTGGCGGTTCTGTGTTTACGATGGCTCCTTGATCAGACTGGGTGTGCCCAAGGGTGGACACTGTGCCCTGTGCCCTGTTGCCATTACTGGATCTTATAGGGGAGGAAACAGAGGCCCCCAGAGGGGCAGCCACTGCCAAAGGCACCCAGTGGTGGGAGGGTCCCAACTCGAACCCAGGTCTGACTGCAGCCCACGGGCACCTCTCCACACCCTTCTATCTCTTTGAGCCAGGTGGTCCATGGCCTTATCAGAGGCTGCCAGGGCCTGGGCTCCGTGGTGGGCACCAGTTAGCCTCCCCAGGGGCCAGTATCCCCCACCCTGCTCCACCCCAGAGCTCAGCATCTGCCAAGGGCCCACCACCCCCGCTGACCCCAGCACCCCAAGCCCAAGCCCTGGAAGGACCTTTCCGATTCTACTTGTGTCCAGAACCTTCCCTTCCAGCCCACACCGAACGAGCCACTTCAACCCCAGGAGTGTGCCGTACCTTCCCCAACTCGCACCAGCCCCCATGAAGTGTCCGCCACCAAGTTCTGGCTCTTCGTGGCAGCCTGTGGGTTCCCAAGCTTGAGTCTTGGCTCAATGCCCCCCACCTCATTCTGTAGCCCCAAGCAGGTGGCTTCACTTCTTGGAGCCTCAGTTTCCCATTCTACCCTGGTCAGGTTCTGGGGAAGAGTCAGACTGATAATTCACATTGTATCACATTCCCTGTATATAGCAGGTGCTCCATACATGTCCAGTGAAGGCTGAATAGCCCTCCTCGCCCATGTCAACTCCCTCGTTGGACTGTGCTTTGCTGGTACTTGGCCCACAGTGTGTGCTCCAGCAAAGCCAGCTGGTCAAAAGGGTGTCTGATTATCCAACGCCTCTTATGGGGGCTGGGCCACGTCCTCTGCTGTCACTGTGTCAATGCCAAGTGGGATTGGTGCAGATGTCCTTAGAGAGGTGTCCTGACCAAGCTCAGGCTTGGGAGACTACCAGGTTAGGAAAAGTGATGGAGACGGGCTCGCTTTGACTCCCACGTCTATTCTGGGACCCCAGGCCAGGTGTCCATGTCCCATGTTGTGATTACAAGTGTCCCCCAGCCACACACAACAGGCAGCAACTGGATGGGTCCTGCTTTATTCAGAACTGGCAAGGACCCCTCTCCCTGCTGTTCTGAGCCCACGGCGGGCCTGGGGAGAGTCAGGGGGCCGGGCGACCAGAGGAAGCTCCAGGCTCCCCAAGCTCCAGTCAGGGGGGAAGCAGGCAGCAGCTGCCCCTGCCCAGTCTGGGTGGGACAGACTCCGGGCCACTCAGCCCCTCTCAGCTCTGGCTCCTTGTACTCCAAGAGGTAAAACTGGACAGGGCTTCCTGGATGCTGAGGAGGTGGCGGCCACACGATGGCCAAGATTGTGGGGTCTGGTGGTGGGTGGGGCTGTCACCCACAGTCTGAAGAGGCCACGGGTGGCCACCGGCATGGTGAGCTCCGGACTGCCTGGTCTGGCGGGCCAGACTGGGGAGGCAGGGGCGGTGGGGGCAGGCATATGGCTTGGGTGATGAGGCTAGGTAAGGCCTGCAGGGAGGTGCCTAGTGCATCCAGACGGCTTTCCAGTGCAGCCAGGCGGGCCTCAAGGTCCTCGTGCTGGGCGTGCAGTTCAGACATGAGGTCGTACATGGCATTCTGGGTCTGCCGGACACAGAGAGGTGGGAGCGATAAGAGGCTTGAGTGAGACAGAAAGGGACAGGCACACAGAGAGACAGTTGTAACTGTGACAACACCCCCAGCCCTGCGGGTCTCCTGCTGGACCCCAGGGAATGATGGGAGAGTAGGTGAGGGGGCAGACAGGCTTAAATGCCAGCCTGGGACCAGGAGACCTGGGAAAGGCCGAAGGATGTCCTGGGGAGGGTGGCTGTGACCATGGCTGCTGTGAGCGGTTGAACTGGCCACATGGCATTTTAGACTAGGGATGGGACAGGGATCTGGAGGGAGAGATGACTTTCCAGAGGATCTGACCCAGTCACAGACCTGGGGACACAACAGCCACAATTACTATTATGGTAGGCAACAGTGTCCCCACCACCTAGTCTGCTCCCCACAACGTAAGGGCTGCTCCCCAGCAAGGGCTGGGTCTGCTACTATCCAGATGGACCCTGGTTGAAGCTGGAAGGGGAGGCTGGCCACGCAGGGACAACCGCGTGCAGACCACACTCTCGCCATCAGGTGGCGCTCGAACATTGCTCGGTGTCTTTAACTCCAGTTCCACCGGGACTAGACACCCCACCCTTCCCACGCTTTGGTAGGGAGGGTTGAAGGCGAAGTTCTGGCTGAGGCGGGGCGGGGACACCCTCTAACCCCTTGCTCCGCTGTAGACGGATAAGGGTGAGGCACCTATTATGGTAGGTGCAGACTTCCCCAGCCTCTTCGCCTCTCTCCGTGTCCCCCATCCTTCCTTCTGTTACCGTAGGCTGACCGCACTCCAGGGCGGGAGGGACCAGCACCTCTGAGTCCCTTCCTTCCAGGGCCACTGACCTTCACCCCAGCCTGCCTCAGGCAACCACAGTCCCCAGGGCCAGAGGGTAAAGTCTGGAGGCAATCAGGCCTGGGAGGGTTCATTTTGGCCCTCTCTGAGGTTTTTAAAAAATTGTTTTAAACTTAGGATATACGTTTTATTTTTGTCAGAGAGAGAGATACAAATTAAATCAACAACCTTGGAAAGGAGAGCATAAAAATTTAAGATTGGGAAACATCTTAACCTTGTTTAATTTAAAAAAAATCACAAACCCATGTAAATATAAGTATAATCCAGTCTAATTAAAGGCTGATTCAAGGAAACTTTTGTGAAATATATTTTGACAGGGGTGCACCACCGTGGTTACAAGGTTTAAATAACTTAAAAATTCAAATTTCGCCCTGGCTGGTATGTGGATTGAGCACCAACCTGTGAACCAAAGGGTCGTGGCTTAGATTCCCAGTCAGGGCACGTGCCTGGGTTTTGGGCCAGGGCCCCAGTACAGGGCATGTGAGAGGAAACCACACATTGATGTTTCTCTCCCTCTCTCCTTCCCTTCCCCTCTCTCGAAAAGTAAATAAATAAACTATTAAAAACAAATTCAAATTTCAATAATTTATGCTAAAGAATGATAATATGAATAATTCAAGTTATGATTCCTAGTACCTTTTTCCAAGGTATTTTATATTTATAGCTATATCTCATATGACATCAAATTAGTTGGCCAACAATTTTAGTATGTTCTTAGGGTTATATTCTAGTTTCTACTACCAACTGAATTATTTCTTCAGGATTCTAGAATGTTTTTTTTTTCTCTGTAACGTTCCCTTTCAAATTCAATTTATAGAGGTTAATATTAAATTGTTTTGCAATCTCTTGAAATGAGGAAGAGAGTGAGTTCAAAATCAGGTGGACATAAGTGAAATAGTATAGGACTTAATATCTTCTAAAGTTAATAAATTGGTCTCATGCTGATAATTGATTAGGGGGTGAGACCAAGCAGCCAAGCTCACACACAAACTATTTATGAAATACACATCAGTGGTAGGAGCAAGTTCAGAACAGTGTGAAAACACTCTAAGAGCTCACCTAACCAAAGTTAGGTGGGTGGCGCCCTGGCTGGTGACTCCGGTGGTGAGAGTGTCTGGCCTGATACGGTGATGGTGCGGGTTCCATCCCTGCTCGGGGCACACACAGGAAACCCACCATTGACGGCGTAAATAAGTGAAACAACAAATCGATGTTCCTCTCTCCTTCTCAAATCAATCAATAGAATTTTTTAAAAAATAAAATAAAGTTGGGTAGCTGACACATCTTTTAATGGATGAATAAAAACTGGGGAAGAGGGTAGGACTTGCTATTAGATCCAACAAACATCCATTTACAACACAAACTGATCTTACCAAGCTCATGCAATCAACTCCGATTTCCTGAAAGGTGTTTAATTGCTGTACGAATTAGCTTTCTGTTGATGCTGTAATTTGAATTTATGTCCATAGCAAAAATACTACATCATCAATTTTGCCCACTAATTATTTGTTCTTTTTAAAGCTGTTTTCTTAGATGCTAATTTTTAAACTGTAACTACTGCCCATGTTAACAGCAAGCCTTTCCACACAGGTGGAGATTCCCAGAGGCCCTCTCACAGCCTCGGCCTCTGGTCTCGATGGACCCTTGCAGACAGGGCTGGTGTTCCCTGGTGGCTCATCCCGCCTGGTCTGTACCCCGTGCCTGTGTCACCTGCCTGCCTACTGAGAACACCAGTGCTGTCCTTCCCGCCGCAGAAGCCCCACCCTGCCCCTTACTGAATGTCCCCTTTCTCCCTGGAGACCCACCCAGCCGAGACTGTCCAGGGGAGCCGCACCACCTGGCCCCACCTTGCTCACCTTGGCCAGGTCTGCAAGCGTGTTGGCCTGATCATTCAGCTTCCCCTGCTCGATCTTCACACTCCGGAGCCTGGGGACAGGTGGGTGGGTGGGGTTATGTGGAGGCAACATTGGCAGTAGTGGGGGAGGTCCTTCATGCACCTGCCCCCCCCAAGGACGTGGGACATGCAAGGGAGAAATGAGGTGGGATTTGGGGGTGCAGCAGGCCTGGAA